CAGACGCTGTCGTAAAAAAGGTCGCGAAGCCTCGCGCTGACTCCGCCCCATCTGCGAGTGGCTCAGGAGGTGGCAGCCACCCCTTCTGACGCCGGTACGCGAAAGGGCCTCGCTCGGCGGCAGTGCGGAGCTGCTGACAGACTCACCACCACGTGGACCAACCCAGTCGGTAGCCCGGCCAGAAACTACAAGGCTCAGAATGCCCGGGTGCCTGCTGTAGCCGCCTCTTCCTCGACGCCGCGAATTCAGAGCGATGCATGATGGTATTGGTAGTCCATCACGCAACGAATTTCGGTTGCATGGAGATTATTTTTCCCCCAAAGCGTTATCTCTGCAATCTAAATTAACCCATATAAGCTTAGCAAAAGACACTGTTTAGCGAGGGGGTTATTTTGTATTGGAGTCACTTCTGAACTTCAGGATTTAAACGGCATTATGGCTGCTTCCCCCCCCAAGCCTCCAGGTTTTAATACTACAAATAAACTACGTAATTGTATTCATGGCTTGTCTTCCTTCACCTGACTGTATATTTCATGAAGTTCTCGGGGTTTGTACTTGCTAGGCAAGCGTACCATTATACTTCCAGTCAGGTAAAGCTATTTTCACTGCACTGAAGATTGAACCCTAGTTTTCATTTAAGTCTGTTGACAAAAAACAAAAACAAAAAACAACCCAGTTATCACCTCGAAGACAATAAGAGTTTATTGTGGAGCCAAATATGAGTGGCGACGGCTTAGAAACATAAATTTAAGTTACCATAAATTCCAACTTGTTAACAGTTTAATGACAATTTTATACCAAGAGAACAAAACAGTGAAGGGGGCTGGGGGGTAATGGTAGATGACAAAAAGCTTGACACATGTTGTCGTTTGATTTCTGTTACTGCGATAAACACCCTGTCTGCACACAACTTGGGGAGAAAATGATTTATACCAACTTACAGGTTAGTCAATCATCAAGAAACTAAAGCACCTTTTTTGTTTGTTTGTTTTTAAGCCATACATGTATATGTATGCCTGTAATACTAATGCTAGGCAGGCAGAAAAGGCGGGATCTCTGTAGCAGGATGGCCAGCTAGTCTTAACTGAAATGGTGCGCTCAAGGTTCCATGACAGACATCAACCTCTAGCCTCCAGACATGTATGCTTACACCTGTACAAAGAACACGTATACACACATTGGTGGAAACATCCAGGACGTTGGTGATAGAAGGCAAGAATGCATCTGCTAATGGTCTTACACGTCCTCTAAAGGCTAATTCTTAGCTTTTGGATTGGTGGGAGTTAATGGTCTGCTTGTGTATCCTAGAAAGATTTAATCAAAACGAAGATGCAGATTGGGGGGGGCGGGGCTTCGGTTCACAGCTCCCCCTGTTGGCCAAGCATCACACCTTTGTGTTGTGGAAGCCTAATATGTTGCACACTGTGAGGAAGGTTTGTCTCTAGAATCTCATAAGGGTGAGGATGAATAGGCAAGAAAGGCAGGGTTCAGGAGAGACAAGTAGCTAGTAAAGACATTAAGGAAACAACAATAACAAAACCCACCTGGATAAAATCAAGTTACATCTATTAATTATAATTATCCAAATCTAATTTTCCCCTCCCACCTCCACATCTGACATATGTAAAACACAATAGGGATATTCCACCTACAATTGAAATAATCCAGAATGGGACCGGAGCCGTAGCTCAGTGGTTAGGAGCACTTACTGGTTTTACAGAGGACCCAGGTATAGTTCCCAGGACCCACATGGAGTATCATAACTGTTTGTACTCCAATTCTAGGGTTCCAGGACCCACTTCTGGAACTGACAAACATGGTGCACTTACATACATGCAGGCAAAACACTAATATATAAAATGAAAAACAAATATTTTTTAAAACAATAATTAAGAACGCAGTATAAGCTGGGCAGTGGTAGCACACACCTTTAGTCTCAGCACTTGGGAGGCAGAGGCAGGTTATCTTTGTGAGTTTGAGGCCAGCCTGGTCTATGGAGTGAGTTCCAGGACAGCTAGGGCTACTCAGAGCAACCCTGTCTCAAACAAACTAAACAAAATGCAATGTGACCCAAATATGTAAATACAACAGAGAGACAGAGGAAATCAGGTCTTTTTATTCAAACCAACCAAACCCTGTAATTTTAAACCAGTTGGTCATGTTTCCCTTGAGTCTATGTTGCTTTTTACTCTATGAAATATTTCATTGGATGTTTAGAAAATTTTAAAGTATTACCTTTTAATTTTAGTGGATTTTTAAAGTCAATTTTATTTTATAAATATAACCTCATAAAGAGTGATTAGTTTGCCAGGCAGTGGTGGCGTACGCCTTTGATCCCAGCACTTGGAGGCAGAGGCAGGTGGATCTTTGTGAGTTCAAGGCCAGGCTGGTCTATTGAGAGTCCAGGGCAGCCAGGGCTACACAGAGAAAACCTGCCTCAAAAAACCCAATAAATAAATAAATTTAGAGAGAAAAGGGTTAGTTCTAATTTAGGAGAGATTGGTCTTAATATCTAAGCTACTCTTTTATTTATGGGTAACAATTTGATATGCCCAGTTATCCAGTGTATTGGAGCAAACTTCAATTTTGTGAAGTAAGTGGAAAAATTACATTACAGATGAAATTGGGTAATAATATAATAGTAACTAAAATTCCCCTATGGAGGGATACTATTGCAGCCCAGATACAGCAAGGAGTCCCCCCAAACAATATGACAGACTTTGAAGGTCCTTGGTGGAGGGCCTCACTATCCCTGGGGAGGAGTGGGGGTGGGGGGAACATGGGAGGATGGGAGGGCGAGGGAATGGGGGGGATGGATATGTAAATATGAGTAATAATCAAAGAATTTAAATAAAAAATTAAGACAAAAAATCCAAAAAATAAATAAATAAAATAAAATTCCCTTTTAATAAAATTATATGGAAGTTGGGGAAGGTTGTTTATGTACAAAAATGAGGTCAGACTTCTGAGAACTCAGGATTCCAAGGATTTTGTAAGTATAAGGTACTTTTAATTTTTAAAATTTTATTTACATAATCAAACCTTACTTATTTTATAGTAAAAAGGGAGAAAGTTCAATAGGAGTCACATTGTAATATTGTATAATAATGTTTTTTTAAGATTTTATTTATTTAATATGTATACAACATTCTGCTTCATGTATATCTGCACACCAGAAGAGGGCACCAGATCTCATAACAGATGGTTGTGAGCCACCATGTGGTTGCTGGGAATTGAACTCAGGACCTCTGGAAGAGCAGTCAGTGCTCTTAACCTCTGAGCCATCTCTCCAGCCCATAACTTTTTTTTTTTTTAAGAGAGAGGATTTCTCTATTTAATAACGGCTGTCCTGGAACTCACTGTGTAAACCAGGCTGGCCTGGAACTCAGAGATTTTGCCTGTCTCTGTCTCCCGAGTGCTGGGATCAAAAGTGTGCACCTGGTAGTATCAATTCACTTTATCAGCAAAATATAATTTGTTAACTTTTAAAATCCCGGATAATTTTACTATAGCACATTTTAAATATTCACCAAGAAACACAGGTGCTTGGGTAGAGAGATGGCTCTATGGATAAGAACACTGCCTGCTCTTCTAGAGGACCCAGATTTGATTCCCAGCACCCACATGGTGACTCATAACCTTCTTTAATTACAGTTCTAGGGGACCTGACACACTTTTCTGGCCACTGTGTGCATTGAACACACCTATTGGCATGTACATACACTCAGGTGTGGGTGCATGCATGGGAGCTCTCGTGCACACATGCATATACATACATACATACATACATACATACATACTATTAAATATTTTTTAAAAGACAGCCTCATGAGCTATAAAAAAAACACCAGGCAACTGTCTATTTAAAAATAATAAGGCCGGGCTCACGCCTTTAATCCCAGCACTCGGGAGGCAGAGGCAGGTGGATCTCTGTGAGTTCAAGGCCAGCCTGGTCTACAGAGCGAGTGCCAGGATTGGCTCCAAAGCTACACAGAGATACACTGTATCGAAAATAATAATAATAATAAATAAGGGATGGAGAGATGGCTCAGAGGTTAAGAGCACTGGCTGCTCTTCCA